CCCCACTCTGTCTCCAAGGGGCTAAGAAGCACATGCAGGCCTGCCCTTGCCTCTCTCTTGTTAGAGACCACGCAGGACCTTCTCTCTTGGGCTTACCATCCCCTGGCCCTTGGGGCTCCCCTAAGTTTGCCCCCAGATCCCCAGGGCCTTACTGTTCCCTGTGGTAGCCTGTGGCCCTTTCCATTCTAAGGGTTTTCTTGCTGGTCTCCCGGAAACAGGCCCATGGTAACGTGTGGAGAGGCTGCAGGCACAGGGTGTCCACTGGAGGCCAGAGCACCTTCTCAGCTCTAACTTGAGCCTTCTAACTCCAGCCCATGGCCCACGCTGCCTCCCTGCACTGGCAAGGGTCAGGACCGTTACCGGCAGGCTAGCCTCATCCGGAAAAGGCAGTCAAGGGGACATTGATCTCCTCTGTCACTGTGAGCCTTGAGGCTCCTGTGACGGGGTGCCATCCAGTAACCTAACCTCCGCTCTTCACACATTTCCAGATGCTGCTTAGTCTCAGCCTAGACTTCCAGCCTCTGGAAAGCAGCTGTTTCCCAGGGGCCAGTGGCTTCTAAAGTAGGAACCATTGGGACTGGGGCAGTGGCACGTCACTTATCCAGGACTACGTGGCAAGTTCCTCAGCATCCCCAACACTGCTGAAAAACTAATAAACAGGAATTTAAAGCTCAAAGAGAAATCACTGAAAACACCTAAAATGCTGATGGTGAGGGCATGTGGCACTGGGTATGACGTGAGCTGTGTGCACCTTCTCTGAAGTGGAGATGCTAGTAGCGGCCCCGTGTGGCTGAGGACAGTTGATCACCCGTGGCAGGTGCCCCAGGGCTGTCAGGATTCTGGCTTCTCTAGGTGCGTACTCATCTCTTGGACTTGTGTAATCCCGCAAGGCGTGGAAGCTCCGTGTCCTGGAAATACGGTTCCACTGTGACAAGACGGCTTCATTTAAGAATCTCCCTTTCTGGGGCACCTGGATGGCTGAGTCGGTTAAGTGTCTGCCTTCAGCTCGGGTCTTGATCTTGGGGTCCTGGGATCGAGCCCCGCGTTGGGCTCCCTGCTCAGTGGGGAGTCTGCTTCTCCCTCGGTGCTCTCCCTCCCTCCCTCGCAAATAAAATCTTTAAAAACAAAACAAAACAAAACAGTTTTCCTTCTTGTGTATGTGCTGTCATTGAGAGCACCTCTGCTCCCGTGTGGAGTGGAGCCTGTGCCCTAGGGTCCTGGGTGTCCCCTTCCTGCACCCTTACACCTGTGTGCTGCTGGGGTCGGCACCTCACTGGTTGGCTGGCTGCTGAGTGGTCCCAGAGGGTGCAAAGCGATGTACAGCGTCAAGTCCTCTGGGCCCCAGGGCAGCCCACTCGGTGCGGTAGACTTGGGAGGGTTTTCAGGCGATTGTGTTTCTCCACATATCTCTTAAGAGGTCAGAACGGGAGGCTTAGAGGCCTGTTTTGGGCTTCTGGGGCTGTACACTGACTTCACTGAGCTCCTGGATTACAGGCCTCTCCCCTCTCCTGAGTGGGGAACGACAAACCACAGGGCTGGGGTCTTGCAGCCCCCCCCATCACCTCTAGGACCTGATGCTCTGGCACCAGTGTCACAGCAGGCTTTCCAGGGTGCGGGTTCGAGTCCCACAGTTGCAGCTGTAGCATCATTTGAGCAGTGTGCATTTTTATTGGAAAACTGTTTTGCTTTGGGGGCATATGATTTTTAAGATTTTATTTATTTGGGGGCACCTGGGTGGCTGGTGGCTTAGTCATTAAGCGTCTGCCTTCGGCTCAGGTTGTGATCCTGGGGTCCTGGTATCAAGCCCCACATTGGGCTCCCTACTCGGCGGGAGGACGGCTTCTCCCTCTCTCACTCCCCCTGCTTGTGTTCTCTCTCTTGCTGTGTCTCTCCATCAAATGAATAAATAAAATCTTAAAAAAAAAAAAAAAGATTTGAGAGAGAGCGTGCACAGCAGGGGGAGCAGCAGAGGGAGGGGAGAAGCAGGCTCCCCTCTGAGCAGGGAGCCCAATGTGGGACTCCATCCCAGGACTCTGGGATCATGACCAGAGTTGAAGGCAGACACTTAACCAACTGAGGCACCTGGGTGCCCTGACATTTTTTTTTTTTTTTAAGATCATAGCATTCTTACAGTATTTATTGCACCTTAGACAACATAGTTTTGTGGCACGCCCCTTGGTTTTATATTGGGAGCACTGGGGGAACTAGGGGTTGAATCCCAGAAAAAATTTTTTTTTCTTTTCCTAAGATTTTATTTATTTATTTGAGAGAAAGAGAGCAAAAGGGAAAGCACAAGCCCGGTGGTGAGGGGGAGGTAGAGGGAGAAGCAGAACCCAGAGAGCCTAACATGGGGATCAACCCCAGGACCCTGGGATCATGACCTGAGCTGAAGGCAGACACTTAACTCCTGAGCTACCCAGGTGCCCCAACGTCTCTCCTTCATACTGAAGGGTCCTGCCCCTAGTCTCTGCCCTGGTTGAGGCTCCAGAAGGGAGCTGGAGGATGGGTGCAGGTGTGAAGGGGAGACAAGACAGGAGTAACAGCCGTGCTGGCTGAGGGAAGGCGTGGAAGCAGGTGGTCCGAACAGTAGCGGGAGTTTGCGTGCTGCATGGCGGTGCCTGCTCTAGGTACAAAGGCCGGTCAGAGTTGGGTGGATGCCATGGAAGGGCTTTGCCCCGAGTGCCAGGCTTATACCATCATTATGATGGCGGAATTCCAGAAGCAGAATCACGTGCTCTGGGAAACCATGGAGCTAATTGTGACGTTGATGAAAGGCTAATTGTGACGTTGATGAAAGGTCAGGCTTGCATCCTCAGAGGGTGGTGCAAGTGCTGTACGCCCTCTGGACACAGAGGGGCCGGGAGGACCCAGGCTAGTTCCTCTGTCCTAGTACTGGAAAATGCTCCAGTGACTCACCGAGCGCAGTGCACCTTTTCTTCCTGGCTGGATTCCTGGTGAGCTCAGGCTGTGAGATAGGCAGTGGGGCCAGCCAGCAGCCTCCCAGATGCTGGTAGGATAGGAGTCAGTGACAGGTGCTGGCCCATATTCTAAGACACTCAGTGGGATACGGAGTTTTCTGCAGAAGCACAAGCCTCTTTCTCTACCATCAGAACGGCGCCTGGGGAGCTGGCAAGGACTTCCAGGTCCAGCACATAATAGCCAGTCCTGTCTGGAAGGGGACTTTGTGTGGTGTCCTTTAGAGACTCTGTGGCTTCCCTTTCTTGATCATGCCCTATTGAAATTCACCTGCAGGCAAGGGTGGTGGGAGAGGCATGCAAAGTCCTAGACTCAGCTCTGCCTCTTATATGCCACGTGACCTGGGTAAGTCCCATCTTTTCTTGGCTTCCGTGTCTTTGAAGGATTCTAAGTAGCAGCTCAGAAGAGAAGGTCACAATATATACAAGCACTTGGGAACATGTTCTGTTTCATGGTGGTCAAAGAAACAAGTAACTGAGTGTCATTTTAATGTTGCCCGTTAGTGATAACAGTTGTATCCAAAGTGTGTACTGTAAATTGCCATTGTCCTTCCCAAAGGCACAACATGGCCATAGCCTTTGACCTCATAATTTCACTTCTGGCAAGTTTAACCAAAGAAGATCCAAGAAAGGGAAGGAACATTTGCCAGAGGTTTTCCTTGGTTGGTTTTTTGTTCTTGGTTTTTTTTGGGTTTTTTTTTGTTAAACTTTTTTTTTTTTATGTAACAAGCATTCTAAATGCCTTAATAAGGGTTGGACATGTAAACAGTGATGGGCCCATTTTAGGGAGTCTTAAAATTGATGGCCATGGGGTCTTGCAAAATGGACAAAATATATAGGACACCATGTTAAAACTGTCACAACAGCAAGTACATAAGAATATACATGACTGCACACAGACGGGCAGAGACTTGCAGGGAGACTAGCTGCATTAAGGTGCTGAGATCAGGCAACTTTATTTTGTTTAGTCAGTTTTATTGACATATAATAATCCACCTACCATACGATTTCCCCATTTAAAGTATGCGATTCACTGGCTTTTAATACATTCGCAGAACAGTTTGGACATTTTCTTCACCCCAGAAGGAAACCCCATATTCATCTCTGTCCGCCCTATCCCCCAAGCCCATGACAACCCCAAGTATGCTTTGTGTGTCTGGGTCTGTCTGGCCTGGGCGCCTCACGTAAGAAGTCACCACCGCGTGGAAGCTTTCGGGTGGTGTGTCCCACTGAGCGTCCTGCTTTCGGGCTCACGCAGCCTGTACCAGGCTTGTGCCTCGTCACGGCGGGGTACGTTCCCGCCAGAGGCTGCAGCTAGTTTGTTGGTCACTTGCCAGTGGTCGGACACCTCAGTTGTTGGCACTTTCTGGCTACTGTGACTAGTGATGCTGTGAACATTCACGTACAAATTCTTGTGTGGTTTTCAGTTCCCTTGGGTGCACACCTAGGAGCAGGATGGCCGGTCACGCGGTGTGAGCGCCGGACAGCCGCGCTGTGGGAGGACTCCAGTTTCCCTGCGTAACACTCGTTACTTTCTCACTGTAGCCATTCTAGTGGGTATGAAGTGGTAGGTTTGATTTGCATTTCCTTTAAGCTAAGTGTTCAGCTTTTCAGGTGCTTTTTGGGCATTTGTTTTTTATCTTTGGAGAAATGTGTATTCAGATCCTTGGCCATTTTTTAATTGGGGTGTCTTTTGGTTAATGAGTTCTTCCTATAGCTATTGTAAATACAAGTCTTTTAGCAGATCTGTAAAAATTTTCTGCTGTTCTGTGAGCTCTTTCCACTTTCTTGATAGTGCCCTTTGAAGCCCAAGAGGTTTTTTTGTTGTTGGTTGTTTTAAAGATTTTATTTATTTGAGAGAGAGCAGAGCAGGGGCAAAGGGAGAGGAAGCACACTCCTTGCTCAGCAGGGAGCCCAAGGCAGGACTGGATCCCAGATCCTGGGATCACGACCTGAGCTCAAGGCAGATGCTTAAACTGAGCCACCCAGGCACCCCGAAGGCCAAGTTTTTAATTTTACTGACATCCAGTTTCTTTTCTTTTGTTGCTTGGACTTGGGTCTCTCAGGCCCTGCCACTGATCTGTGACATTTAATAAACTTAACTGACTCTAGGCTCCTTCTGCCCTGGTGGGGTTCTGAACTTCCCGCTGGCGGGGCTCCCAGATGGAGCTGCACTAGGAGAACTGCTGTCACTGCGTGTCTCTTTGTACTGTTCAGAATTTTTTCTAGTTCATATTTCAGTTAAAAAAATTAAGCGTCACTTCAAAATACTACTAATTTCAAACCTTCTGTGCTAAATAGAGTGAAAGGAAGTGCCTTGCTAACCCCAAGGCAGGAAGGCCCTCTGGTTTCCTGCTTCCCCCCCAGGGCCCAGCAGCAGGTGCTCAGGGAGCCTTGGGAGGGAAAGACATGAGGGAAATGTTTCACTTCGCACCTTCCTTCCCACACCATCCTCCACAAAAACGGGGGGCAGGGGCCCCATGTGCACAGCTGGCTTTCAGAGCTGCTACAGTGGGGAGTAGCTGGTTCTCCTTTCTTCCTACAGTGGGTGCGGGTCTGTCGGGGCCGGTGTGAGCCTGGAGCTGCAGCTGTGGGAGGGGAAGGGGAGCGGAGGAGGGTGGGCAAGTGGGTTGCTGCTGTGCTGGCGGGAACCAGCTGAATGGGGTGGGGATGTGTGTGTGGTTGCAGCTCTTGCCCTAGTGCTGAGGCTCTGCCTGTTCTTCTCCCCAGAACAGCTCCCTAGAGCCCTGCGTATCTGCTCCGGCTGGCAGTAGAAGGAGCCTCTCCTGCCTTCCCCTTCTGAGTACCTGGGATTTGAGGTAAAAAGTCTCCCCTGTCCTCTCCCACAAGCACGGTGCTCTGGCATGTAGGCAGCCTGCTCCCTGGGGGAAGGGTCTGCCTCATCAGCTTCTCCTCACTGGGCATCCTTGCCTTCTGGCTCTGACACAGGAAGCACAGATAATGATGGATGGTGGCGGCTCTGGGCCTGGTTATCCTTGGTGATGGTGGGGCATCTCCAAGGCCTCAAGGGACCCCGCTGACTCTAAACTACTCTACTGAAAGAGTTTGTTCCAGTTTACAAGCCCTGTCCCCCACCCAGAGTGCAGAGATTGATGTGGAGGCATAAAAGGCCACCTGAGCTGCTGGGGCTCAGGGGACTGTCCCAGGCCCATACCTGACCAGCATGCAGGGCTTGGGAACTTAGTTCATGTCCCGGCTTTCCTTCCAGGTCCAGAAGCAGCAAAGATGTCCAATGAGCCGCCCCCTCCTTATCCTGGAGGCCCCACAGCCCCCCTTCTGGAGGAGAAGAGTGGAGCCCCACCAACCCCAGGTAGGATTCAGTGCTCCTGATGGTCCTGTCCTTGCCCCTTGCCCATCCCAGCTCCAGAAGCTGGTGCCTGGAGCAGCCCTCCCACTGATCCTGCCGCCACTGCCCTCTGAGCTCCCTCTCCCTGCCTTCTCTGTCCAGGCCGCACCTCCCCAGCTGTGATGCAGCCCCCTCCAGGCATGTCGATGCCCCCCGCAGACATTGGTCCCCCACCCTATGAGCCACCGGGTCACCCAATGCCTCAGCCTGGCTTCATCCCCCCGCATATGAATGCAGATGGCACCTACATGCCTCCAGGTAAGTAGGAAAGGGGAGCACAGGGGTCTGACCAGTCCAGCATCCAGGGTGTTATCTGGGCTGCCATCCTGCCTTTGCTGTAGGTAGGTGGTCTTCCTGCCCAGTGTTTTTTCGGGACTGGAGGGCACTGATTGTGGGTGTGGAGGGAGGACATGGGAAGGTGTCCTGGAGCAAAGCACTGCTATGCAGGTACTGTGGGCAAACCACATAAGCCCTGGGCCCTGTTGGGAGGAGGGCTAGCTCCTGGGAAGGCCCCTCAGGCACAGTGGCAGGTGCTGACTCGTGGGTGCTGTGTGGGCCTCTCCCTTGCCAGGGTCCCACATCCATGGGGGAGGCCTAGGCTCCTGTTCAGCAGTTCTTCAGGACTCCTCAGGCCAAAGAAAGGCCCAGGGCTCTTGCACAGGTGGCCCCAGGTAAAGTGGGCCAGTCCCTAGTATTTCAGTGCAGGATCTGACACCGGTGGGGCCCAGAGCCCTGTGTGCACGAGAGAGGCTGGGCTGGTGAGTGGCGAGGCTCTCCCTCCTGTGGTTGAGGGCCCCTATGTGTCAGAGGCAAGGAGAAAACACATCAAGCCGAGACCGAGGAGATATTAGGCCTTCTTCCCAGCTCTGCCATGTCTGGCTGGGCCAAGTGCTTTCTCTGTCTTGGTCCTCATAGGGCTGGTAGAATATAGGTGGTCACCTTGGCCCAGGGCTCGGTCCTGGAGGCCTCCTCTTGTGTCCTGGGTGCTGGGGGCCACATGGGTCAGGTGGCAAGCCAGCAATCCATCTTTACTCCGTCTTCTGTGCCATTTCAGGTTTCTACCCTCCTCCAGGCCCCCACCCACCCATGGGCTACTATCCACCAGGGCCCTACCCACCGGGGCCCTACCCTGGCCCTGGGGGCCACACCGCCACAGTCCTAGTTCCCTCAGGGGCTGCCACCACAGTGACAGTACTGCAGGGAGAGATCTTCGAGGGCGCCCCTGTACAGACAGTGTGTCCCCACTGCCAGCAGGCCATCACCACCAAGATATCCTATGAGATTGGCCTGATGAACTTCGTGCTGGGCTTCTTCTGCTGCTTCATGGGGTAGGTGGTGTGGGCGCTTGGGGTGTGGGGGCCGGGCCCACCTGTCGCCCAGCTGGAGTAGAACTGCGTGCCCTCAGTCCCTTCTCATCCAACCTCCCCATCTTCCCTGTCTCTGATTCAGGTGTGATCTGGGCTGCTGCTTGATCCCTTGCCTCATCAACGACTTCAAGGATGTGACGCACACATGCCCCAGCTGCAAAGCCTACATCTACACATATAAGCGCCTGTGCTAACGGAGCCGGGACTGGACTCCGTGCTGTCAGTCTGGCCCCTTGTGCTTTTGCTCCCCTCGCTCAGTGGCTCGCTTCCGTGCTCCCACTTGGGGATGGAAGCCATTCCACCGGTCCCCTGGAAGTCTTGTCCTCTTTGGCTTGCCCTTCCCTGAGCATCTGACTCTTCCGGCAAAAATTCTGTTGGATTTTAAGGCCAAGGGTCAGCAGACAGCAGGGGGATAGCACTGAGCTTGTGTGTTGCTGGTTTGCTTGGTGTTTGTGATCAGGAAGAGAAGCTGGGAAGAGTCTCCTCGCACGGTCTCCCTGCTGGGGTCTCATTCCTCCATTTCTGTACAAAGTATAGATTTGGTCCTAACTTTCCCTGGGACCAAAAGCAGCCAGAGCAGACCTGGGGCCTGCAGTAGGACTGTACCTGTAGCCACAGTTATTTCTGATCTCCTGGGCCAAGAGTCGGGGAGTGGACCCAAGCAGGATAGGGTCCTAAGGCCTGGTCTGTTTCTGGGGTGCTAGAGGTGGGCATGATGATTAGGAGGATGACTCTGGCCCTTAGAAGTCTCAAACTCTTAACACTCTGTCCAAGTGCCCAGGAGTTCCCTGGGGTAAGGTAGAGAGCTCAGCACACCTCCAAGTCATGGGGTGAAATGTTGGACCCCAGTTTACTAAGAAGGGACTCGCCCCTGGCCCCCATCCAGCTCCCTTTCTGGCCACCCCTCCACAAACCCCCACCTTTGCTAGGGCCAGAAGGAATACCCAGAAGCCTAATCCATCTGTCCATACCGTGTCTTTGCTGTGTATCGGCAAGACCTTTGCCCAGTGGCTGGTGTGTCTCAACTAGGACTGGAGGTGATGGAGAGAAGAGGCCCCTTGTAAGCACACTCACATTTGTAGTGCTCTTGCCATGGATCCTCTTCTCAGGAAGTGCTGGGTGCTGGGCCCTGGCTGACTTGCTGTCACTGTGCTTGTTTTAACAGCAGGTACTGCAGCAGGAGCAGCTGTGGCACTGGACTGGGACAGGCCAGGGACAAGGAAGGAGCAGCCCCTGGTGGAAGTGCCCTGGTGGACACCTGCCCTGGGCCTGAGCCCACACTGTATCTCGTGAATGGTTTGTCTGTGAATTCGCTCATGTGGACCGCTGTATCCTGCTGCCGCCCCTCTCCTGGTCTCGCACTGCCACTGCATGGCCTCCTGTCACTGTGAATCATGGCTGGTCTCAGTTTGTAGTTTCTCATTAAATTGGCCCTTTCACTCCCCTGCCCGGGGCCTCTGCTCTCTTGGCTGGCTTCCTTCTTTGATGGAAAGAGGGTGGGGGCTAGAAGTGGTCTAAGGCTTGAGTCCTCAGGGTCTTTGTGCTTGTGCTGCACTGACTGCCCAGGGATGACAGTATCTGATTAAACCACACCCTTACCCAGCGTGGACAACCCGTGGGGGTCTACCTGTGACTGGGCCAGGGTAGGATTTGGCTTTCACTGCACTCAAAGAGCGCCTTCCTCTCTCTCACACCGGTTTCACCCATCTCCACGCCACGGCATCTACCCACATCGTCTGCAGGCTGGAGCCCGCTGGCTTGAGCTCAGGGTCACCCCACCCTGCAGGCAAATACCCTTGCTCTCTTAAGCAAGACAGAGTCACTGAGGCTGAGGCTTCTGGTCTGAAGGCTAATGGGGGCAGCCAGTCAGCCCCCAGGTTCTGAGCCAGCTCCCTCCCTACCCCTTATCTGAACTGTGAAAATGGGTAGGCTTGGTCAGTAGTTGAAGACAAAGTTTTCCCCACCATTTAACCCTTTTCTGAATAAAACTTTTGCAGATCCTCAATATATAAAACTGACTCCTATCAATAAAAATATTTAAGTTCACATTTGTATTTTAGACAATGAATTGTTGTAAGACATGTAATGCTTTTTATCCTTATTTATAAATAACTTATTTCAAGAAGTAGGAAACCTCCAAAGTACTTCCGAGAGAGAATCACAAGACTAGATTTGTGAGACACGGCAGCTTTGCTCTGGGTGGAGGGCTGTGAGGTGACCAGGGGTGGTGGGATGGGAACACAGGATGGGTAGGAGTGGCTGAGAAAGATAACAATCATGCCGTTTGGAAAGAGGGAGGCAGCTGTCAGAGTCCACTTTATTGAGTGCTGTAGCATTTACACAGGTCAAGGGAGGAGACAGGCCACGGCTAAACAGAGCCCTGAGCCCACCCACCCACCCAGGGTTTCTGCTTGAGAGGGATAAGGACTAGCTGTTCTGGATGGAGTTCCCCAGGCCTCTGAGGCAGGGTCCAAGCCACCCTCCCTCCCTCCAAGCTATAGCAGCCTAGGCTTGCTGGCTGCTCTGTTCCCATCAGGGGAAAGGTACCCACCTAAATGCCAACACAAGGAAGAATGAAGGGAAGGAGCCTCAGGGTGAGCAGTGTGGACGCCCCAGGAGCAGAGCCGGTTCCAGATGCCCAGATAGGCCCACTGAGCTGAGCTGGCTGCTTCTGGTACCACGGCCTAATAGCTGCAGGAATGGTGGGCCTACAGCCAGCTCAGCAGCTAGCCCACAGAGAGGATGCTACAGGCAGAGGCTTTAGCGTCTGGCCTTTATTGGTTGCTTGTTTTCTCAAAACCATTTAAAAAAAGTCACCTGAGGTGGTAGCTTAGTCACCGGTGGAGGTGGGGGCAGGCCAGTGGTCACTTGGGAGGAGGGCGCCAACGTGGTATGCTGGTTCCTTCACATGTAGTACCAGGCCAGGAGGCCAGCAACCAGGGCCACACCAGCGGCCAGAATGAACTGCAGGCCGGGCTTACTCAGCACAGCCAGGGCGGTTTGGAAGGGGCAGCTGCTGCCCTCCAGGGCACCTGTGTGGCGGCACCAATAGGGGACAGGACATCAGTGGGGAACACGGACACAACCCACCCTGGCAGGAGAGTCTGAGACAGGCAAGACCTACCTCTGACTGGTTTACCAGCATAGTACGGGCATTTGCGCACATCTCCTTTCCCATCGTGCACGGGGAGCCCATCCTCCTGGGTCTCCCTGGCCAACACGGAGCCAGCCTGGTCCAGTTCATCGAATATCTGCAGAAGCAGGGATGAAGAGCTATCAGAGGATGCACAGTCTGCTTTCAGAGAAAACTCTTTCTTCCCCCACGCAGAGGGAGCCAGAACCAGTGAGACTTGCTCAGGAGGGCAAACCAGTACATGAGCAGCCCCAAATCAGCAGCAAGGAGGGCCACGCCAACCTAACCCTTCTCCAGGCACCACCTCGGAGAGGTGTGACCACACCTGTGCTGCCCCGCATCCCACCACTGCCGACTGTGGTGGCTCTTCCTGGGCCCTGACCAGCCAACACGGCTCACAACTGAAACCACCAAGGCAGAAACAATGAGAGAACAAAAGCACTGCCCTGAAATACTCCATGGGCACTGGCACTTTGCCATTTTCAGTGGCTAGGTATTTTCAGCGTGAATGGCAGGAACGTGTGACAACTGAGGCTCCAGCAGGGCTGACCCATCCTAAGTGGCCCTTGGAGGGTTGCTAATGTCAGACTAACCCAATGGGCCTACCTCGGGACTGGTGCTGCGCTCCTTGGCCATGGCCGTTCTGGTGCTGAAGGCTGCAGTCAGCCTGCCCAGGCTTGGCCCTATCTAAAGGCTACAGGTAAATGGAATTCTGCTCCTCACTCTCCTTGGTTCTCTCCATGAACTTACCAAGCGGTGCTTTTCAGAGCAAACCTCACTAAAAAGGAAATTCACTCAAGACCAGAATCCTATGGCAAGAGGGAGGAAGACCGTTTCAATTCCCCAAAACCGTCTGTGCTAGGGCCTCACCCTCCCCAAAGCAAAAACCACAGGCTGTCTAACAAAGCGGAGCTATCACTGGGCTCATTCCCCCTGTGGCCTATTTGGTCCTACTTTGTAGCAGGCTGCAGCTCAGCAGACAGCTGGTGGCCACCATTAGAGGGCCCCCTCCCACACGAGCCCCAGCAGTACCTGCATGTTGTACTCAAAGGCCCTGTTGGCCTCCTCCACAATCCTCTCTTTGGTCTTCAGGTTCAGGTCCAGGGCATTCATTCGGGCCCGGTACAGCTGCTTGAACTGTTGTGCATTGTCCACATTCTCAAACAGATAGAACTGGGTCCCTTCTCCTGTGCTGGGAAGTTTCAGGGCCCGCTGGGCCACCTTCTTCAGCACTTGTCCCCCTGAGAGGTCCCCCATATAGCGGGTGTAGGCATGGGCCACCAGTAGCTCTGGCTCATTCTGCCCCACATAATGGATCCGTTCCACGTACTTTTGGGCAGCCTCAGAGCACCGCACCTTCTCCTCCCAGTCCTCACCAAAGAAATACTCCATGTCCTTGGTCAGTGCCTCCTTCCGGTGTAGTTCCATGGGGAAGTACAAGGGGGCAAAGGCTGGGTGGTCCTTGTTGCGCTCCATTTCCTCCTCGAGGGCTGAGTATGTGAAGTAAAGTGCAGTAGTGGCCAGCTGTTGAGGGCAATGGGGAGACCATGGGAAGGGGCTGTGGGCCCTGATCAGCAAGCACCTCTCCTGAGCCCACCGCCCCCGCGTCTGACAAGCCACAGGTGAAGGCTCCAGCAGCGTGCCCCCATCACCCCAATTCCCGAGAAGCCCATTTTGATACAGTGAATCATTTCACACACTCAGGAAACGTTCATATTGCTTAAAGGAATGATGCGGTGAATTGTTGGGAACATGGATACTTCCAGCACACCACCACTATGCTATTCTATTTAAGCTTCATGAAAACTACAATCTGATGTCGAAAGAGCGGAGAATGGGTAGAGAAAGGCCCAGTTTCCACCTCCAAGCAGCTCTAAGGGGATCTTCCTCACGGGACTAAGGCCCCCAACCTGACCCTACCCACGACCAAGGTCACCGACCTTAAACAGTTCCTTCCTGATGTTGCCTTTCAAGAAGTCCTTGACAAACTGGGTGTTTTCTGCCCGGTCGTGTGCTTCCTTGGTCCCTTCCTTCAGGAGCTCGGAGAGGTCGGCCATCCTGTGGAGATGGGGTTGTGTATGCGTGCGCGTGGGTGCATGTACATGTGTGCATTGGCCCTTCCCAGTCTCAGGGGGTGCCCCTGCTGGGCTGGAGGCAGAAGCTGGTCAGAAACTCCATTCCGGCATCAATACAGAGCCTTGCCAGAGAGCAGACAGATGTGAGTCGGCCCCAAGCACCTGGGTGACATGCAGGATGACTGTGGCCCACTCCTTACCAGTGTCCATGTCTATGAACCGCCCAAATGAACAATGCTTTGCCTCTGTGGCCCCCAGTGCCTGAAGAAACACACACCTCTAGTCCCACCACAGTGTTTGCTGGCTTCTCCAGGGAGCAGCCCTGGAGAAGGCAGTCCATGCTGCTGTGGTGGACTGAGGGTAGATGTCTCAAAGCAGCCTTGCTGCCTTCCTCCCACCTTGGACCCACAGCTTCTTCAGGAGTACATGTGGCTGGGCCCAGGCATAGGATCAGAATGAGATGGGCTGAGGCAGTTGGAGCCAGGACGTAGGTCTGTACCACTTAAAATGACACAGATGGAGTTGAGCTGCTAAGTGCCCCAGCCAGTACATGACAAGGCAAAGAACATATGACCCAAAAGATGGAGGCACCGGGTAGCAGCTCACATGGTCCACACAATCCATGCACCAGAGTGGCCAAAACTTGGTCCCTCATGGCCTACCCTTTCCTGGCTTCTTTAGGAGATTAGCTCTTATCACCTACATGCTAAGAATCATTTATTATTAGCAATTACTTCAAGATATAAAAAAGCAATTTGTCAGTGACAAGGCTACAACAAGACGGTAAGAACAATGAAGAACAGGCTCTGGTAACTTGAAGCTTAGCATGAACTGTCCCTACCCAGTAAGAAAAACCCCTGGAGTTAGAGCTGTTCCCACATTCTAAGGAGTGGAAAACACTGGTCAAGGTGCCAGTTTTGCCTGATGACCCTTTTCCAGCACAGATGACAGACCACTTAGGGCTCTAAGAAGAAAAAGAGACCAGAAATACCATCAAATTCCACTCCTCAGCACTCCTAGCAGTACCTGACCTGCTTCCTTAGGAACAAAGAGGGAGAATGCTCAGCAGCCCAGGGTGCTGGGCGCTATTCACCTCTGCAGTCCCAGTCAGGTGTCCCAGGGGGATGGTAGTACGGTGTCAGCACGGTGCTGACCACACCCCGGCGCCCAGAGCCCAGAAGACTCCACGCAGCCAGCGCCCACTCACTTGGTGTGGTTTTCTTTTTCTGAGGCCCCGGAGCTCTTTTTCTCCGACTCATCCACCCCCTCTGAAGTCTCCAGTTCTGCTGACATCGTTGCTGAGTGTGGTTGCTGCTGCACTCACTCTTCTGGTCCTGAGGAAACACAAGGAGCTGGTGATGTGGTGCCCATGGCAGTCACTTCCCCCAAACACCTGCTGGTGCTGCTCTCCTCGGAGCTAACGTAATGGAAGAGTCACCCACGTGCCTTAGAGTGTTTTAAAAATAAAGCTCTGCCATCACTGGGACCATTATCTGAATATGGATAAAATATGAATATGGACAGTGGATTAGGTAATAGCACTGTGTTGATAGTGAACCTGCTGGTTTTTATAAATTGTACTGTGATTACATAACAGAATGTCTTCATTTTAGGAATTGTATCTTGAAAAAAGGAAAGGGGCACACTGTCTGCAAGTTACTGTGAAATGGCTCAAGAAGTGTGTGTGCATGCGTATACATATTAGGGAGAGAGGGGAAGGGCATACCAAGTCAAAAGCAAATGAGGCCAAATGCTGTTGGTGAATTTGGATAAAAGGTACACAAGAGTTCACCATACCATTCTTACAACTCTTCCACATGTTTGAAATTACAACAAAA